AACTTCACTCCTCAAGCTAAACTTAACAAGTACCTTTAACTTTTCTATAATCGTATATAACCATTTACCAGAGACATTAAGAAACGAAACTAATGACATTCTATTTATAAAAAAATTAAAACTGTTATTAATCGAGAAGTGCTACTATAGCATTAATGATTATTTGAATGACAATCTTAAGTAAATAGCGACTGTCATGTACAAAATGACAATAAAATGATACACATAAATGACATATACAATTATACACAAAAACATACATACATAAATATTACTGAACTTGACATTGAAATTAAACATTTTTTTTGGTTTATCAAGTGGCCCGCCTATTAATTAATTGTTTTTATTATATAGATGAAATTATTTTTTTCTTTACTGATATCTAATATATAAAATTCTCGTGTCGCGGTGTTTGTGGTTAAACTCCTCCGAAACGGTTCGACCGATTTTCGTGAAATTTTATATGCATATTCAGTAGTTCTGAGAATCGGATGTAATCTATTTTTCATCCCCCTAAATGTTAAGGGTAATCCAGCACTAAATTTTGTTTTTAATTTTAGATATATATTTTTTTTATTTTTTTTTATGATACAGCATTGGTAAATACATATAACCCTGAATTTCCAACCCTTTAAAATCAACCCCTATTTTACCATCGCGATGTTTGTGGTTAAACTCCTCCGAAACGGCTTTCCCGATTCTCATGAAATTTTGTGTGCATATTGGGTGGGTCTGTGAATCGGACAACATCTATTTTTCATCCCCCTAAATGTTAAGGGTAATGCACCCCTAAATATTTTTTTTGAATTTTATATAATTTTTATTTAATTTTTTTATTATACAGCATTAGTAAATACATATAACCCTGAATTTTCAACCCTTTACAATCAACCCCTATTTTACCATCGCGATTTTTATTTTTAATAATTTCTTTTTTTTTCTCCTTTCAATTTGATCTTCCGCCTTCACCGGTCGATAACCGATCAACGATCCATCGATCGATCGATCAGTTATCCCCGCTAGATGTCTACCTGGGTCACCTCTCATCCAGCAAATATCACGGAGTAGGGATGAGAAGGAAGCCGGTCTCCTGTATTCCTCAATATACAGTTTTCGGTCATTTTTTTTGATTTCATTTGTGTATCGATCGTAGCAGTGGCTTATACGTATTATTTTAATTTTTCTGTGCATCTATTACGTTAATTTTACTCTCATCGTGAAATTCACGTAATAATAGATGCACAGAATTATTAATTTTCAGTGCAATAATTATTTTTTCACATTTTATTAATAACTGATAAAGACACTTTTAAATATTAGTTAATTAAGTGATCTCATATAAATAAACACTTGTTGTGATCTCCCGCCAACAACGACCATTACTGTGAGAAGGAAGCCGGTCTCCTGTCTTTCTCAATATACAGTTTTCGGCCATGTCACAGTGTTAGTTACCATACTCCTCCGAAACGGCCTGACCGATTTTTTTGAAATTTTATATGCATATTCCGTGGGTCTAAGAATCGGCTACTATCTATTTTTCATATCCTTAAGTGATAATGGTTGTCCACCTGAAACGTAGTGTTCTGAAACCTACAATGCGCCTTCGCGCCAAAATTCATACTATTGGGTATTGTAACGTAGTGTTCTCATATAGGTTAGGAGGAATGTTATCCCAGGAAATTGATAGAACACTACGTTACACACCCCTAAATTTTTTTGTGGACAATATTTATTGGAACGAAGTTCCTTACGGCAGGCTTGGAGGGGATAGGGATTTTGCTGCGCGACCGAACTGAAAAAATGTGATAGTAAACCGTAAGAAAAGTCCGTGGAAAAAAGTGCGTGGAATAAAACCGCTAAATGAGACGTGCGCAGGCGCGACGAAGTTCCTTACGGCAGGAGAGAGAGCGACGAGGGTGCATCACTGAAATATTGTGATATTACACCAACACTGAATATGTGTGAAGTTAAAGGGAGTGGTAGAGCGACGAGGGTGCATCACTGAAATATTGTGATACTACACCAACAGTGAATATGTGTGAAGTTATAGGGGGTGGTAGAGCGACGAGGGTGCATCACTGAAATATTGTGATATTACACCAACACTGAATATGTGTGAAGTTACAGGGGGTGGTAGAGCGACGAGGGTGCATCACTGAAATATTGTTATATTACACCAACACTGAATATGTGTGAACTTATAGGGGGTGGTAGAGCGATGAGGGTGCATAACTGAAATATTGTGATACTACACCAACAGTGAATCTGTGTGAAGTTATAGGGGGTGGTAGAGCGACGAGGATGCATCACTGAAATATTGTGATACTACACCAACAGTGAATATGTGTGAAGTTATAGGGGGTGGTAGAGCGACAAGGGTGCATCACTGAAATATTGTGATATTACACCAACACTGGATATTTGTGAAGTTATATCAAGCTGTGGACCAGTAACGCCTGTGAGACATGATTATGATTACAAGGCGAGTACTTATCAGGAGGTGGCAGAGCGACGGGGGTGCATCACTGGATTATTGTGACATTGTAGTTTATTCTAAACTGTGGGCCAGTCCTGCCTAGCATCCTGTACGAACGCTAGCGGGACATGATAATAAGGTCCGTATGTAGGGGGTGGCACAGCTACGAGGGTGCAGCACTGGAATATTGTGACATTACACGAAATCTGGATATTTGTGACGTTATACCGAGCTGTGGACCAGGAACGCCTGTCATCTGCTGTAAACTTAAGCTAGACATGATAACAAGGTCAGTACTTAACAGGGGGTGACAGAGCGACGGGGGTGCAACCCCAAATTATTGTGGCATTATACCAACACTGGATTATTGTCGTATATTATACTAAACTGTGGTTAAGTCCAGGGGGGTGGCAGAGCGACGGGGCTGCATTACTAGATTATTGTGACATTGTAGTTTATCATAAACTGTGGGCCAGTCCTGCCTAGCAATCTTTACGAACACTAGCTGACCGAACTGAAAAAAATGTGAAAGTAAAACCGTAAGAAAAAATCAGTGGAAAAAAGTGCGTGGAATAAAACCGTTAAATGGGACGTGCGCAGGCTCGACGAAGTTCCTTACGGCAGGAGAGAGAGCGACGAGGGTGCATCACTGAAATATTGTGATATTACACCAACACTGAATATGTGTGAAGTTATAGGGAGTGGTAGAGCGACGAGGGTGCATCACTGAAATATTGTGATACTACACCAACAGTGAATATGTGTGAAGTTATAGGAGGTGGTAGAGCGACGAGGGTGCATCACTGAAATATTGTGAAACTACACCAACAGTGAATATGTGTGAAGTTATAGGGGGTGGTAAAGCGACGAGGGTGCATCACTGAAATATTGTGATACTACACCAACAGTGAATATGTGTGAAGTTATAGGGGGTGGTAGAGCGACAAGGGTGCATCACTGAAATATTGTGATATTACACCAACACTGAATATGTGTGAAGTTATAGGGGGTGGTAGAGCGACGAGGGTGCATCACTGAAATATTGTTATATTACACCAACACTGGACATTTGTGAAGTTATATCAAGCTGTGGACCAGTAACGCCTGTGAGACATGATTATGATTACAAGGTGAGTACTTATCAGGAGGTGGCAGAGCGACGGGGGTGCATCACTGGATTATTGTGACATTGTAGTTTATTCTAAACTGTGGGCCAGTCCTGCCTAGCATCCTTTACGAACGCTAGCGGGACATGATAATAAGGTGCGTATGTAGGGGGTGGCACAGCTACGAGGGTGCAGTACTGGAATATTGTGACATTACACGAAATCTGGATATTTGTGACGTTATACCGAGCTGTGGACCAGGAACGCCTGTCATCTGCTGTAAACTTAAGCTAGACATGATAACAAGGTCAGTACTTAACAGGGGGTGACAGAGCGACGGGGGTGCAACCCCAAATTATTGTGGCATTATACCAACACTGGATTATTGTGGTATATTATACTAAACTGTGGTTAAGTCCAGGGGGGTGGCAGAGCGACGGGGCTGCATTACTGGATTATTGTGACATTGTAGTTTATTATAAACTGTGGGCCAGACCTGCCTAGCAATCTTTACGAACACTAGCTGACCGAACTGAAAAAAATGTGAGAGTAAAACCGTAAGAAAAAATCCGTGGAAAAAAGTGCGTGGAATAAAACCGTTAAATGAGACGTGCGCAGGCGCGACAGTCGCATACACAAGCGAGTTTGCAATTTGTGTCGATTCTACATTAGCCGAAGGAACTTCGTTCCTACCTGGTGTCCCACGACACCACATCATTTTTATTTTTTTATAATGTGTTATTAAAAAAATACATACAACCCTAAATTTTCTCTTCTCTTAACACCTGCCCCTATTTTTATGGCGGTACGAAGTTCGCTGGGTCAGCTAGTAATATATAAATTAACTATAGTGACATTCACAACCTAACTCTTTCAATCTATAAACAAACATAGAAATTTGAATGTAACTCCTGTCTTCTATCTCTCATTTAGTTGCGTGCCCGACAGGGTCCATAATGATCGTATTTTGTCATATTTAACATCTTTTTGTACATTGTGGATATGCAATTAACGAATTGAATTGAATAATAGTCTTGAGATATCTCTGCGCGTCGGCAATGCCGTATGTACTCGTGCACAACCGCCGCTCCGCTTCCCGCGGACTATTGGGAGGGTCGAGTTTACAGAGGTCAAGCTATAGGCAAAAAAGTTTATTTTTATCCTAATTTTTAAGCTATCGTTTCAATCGTAACGTAAGTCTTCAGGTAGTAAATCTTATCTATTTTGCAAATATTATATTAATGCCTTTATTATAAGGCTAGGCTGATGAATGATTGACGCATTTTTAATAGAGTGTTATTATTTACATCGCCTCTTCAAACATTTCAATCTCCCTTAATTCCTTAATAACAACAAAAATGACTCCTCGTAGGGCGTGAACGTGACCAATTAACCGATGTTGTTTTATTCTTTGACAGAAAGACAACGCCGGCATCATTATGATCAACTTTTTCCCGGATTTTGTGAAGTGCGCCCCCAACGCCACGATCTCCGACGTTGCTGGTAAGATTTAATTTAAACTTATATTATAAAATATATTTATTCCTCAGTGATTTATAAAAGAAAAGCTTGTAAAAAATATTGCTTGAGGGCGAATATTAAGATTCCGAAATTTAAGTTTTCTCTACGGCTGCTGGTTTTCTTTACCTTTTATTTGACTTCTTCTCATGAAATCGGATTGCTGAATCCGCGTTTTAGTATGGTTATCAGAATTCTAAACGATAGGAAAATGTGATTTGGGTAACCCTGCACTGCGTATACATACACTACTCTATAGTAGCCTGTGTCCATATTCCATAAAAGGTAGACTATGGTGGCGGCACTAATAGGCGGGCTTTACCGAAACGGAACGGTTACAAACTCCGTTTAACGCACTACGATGGAAAAAGACAAATGCATTTAGAGTCTGTGCGGAAAGAGAATGGGCGTGGCGAAAAACGGAACTAACATTAAAATTTTTATTTGGCAATCAAACCCAGCAATCTGTAAAACGTCAAAGTTTTGTATTGATACGGATTTGTTTGTTGTTGTGATTTCTTGCGGTTTTTATGTATTTAATCATGTCTAAAAGGGGTAAAACCTTAAAAAAACTATAGAAAAGCACTACAGCGCCCTCCAATCTAAATCCCATTCTCTTTCCGCACAGACTCTACTGATTTTTTTTAAAGCAGCAGAACTTCCTTGGTGAGACTAAAACTATTGTACCTACTTCATTCCGCCCCTATTTGTTCTACTCAGTCTCCTGTCTCATCGGAAAGCGAGTAATGCTGGTCTTCATACAACCATTTTCGCACATAAAAGCAAAAATTACATTTTATTTTATACGTGGCCCAACAAATTACCCTACTCCACCTAATGCGACAGGAGGAGTGCCGCTTCAGCCATCCTCACCTTGCCGGCCTGAACCCAATCCTCTACCACGCGGATCCTTGTAACCCTACTCACCAGCAGAAACTAGCGATGGGCGACTTCGAATAATACTAATACTAATCATTCGACCAAGTCGACTGCCCTTTATATCATTCGTCTGGAGTCGAAGGTATCGGGCGGCGACTAACCGACTTTCTACTGACGTACGTGACGAAGACGAACAAACCGGGTCGACTCGGGCTTGGTTGGGCGAACTCGACGAGTGAAAGAGATCAGCAGAGTCAATAGGGTACTAATTTCAATCGTTTTTTAATGATTAGATCGATATATGAACTCTTTATATTAAAAATATATATAAATCAAGTAACAATAAAAAACAAATTTACTGGTTAATATAGTTTTCACTGTAAAAATAACGATAACAGATACAAGACTATCGTAGCAGACGCCAAGTACGAACGTACGGAAACTAACTGAACTATAAAATGATGAACGAACGAATGAATAACCTAACCTTATTTGCTGCGCTCTTGTAAATTTTACATTAGTATTACTAATTTGTAGTCGTTATTCGAATAATGACATTAGTATACTACTTATTTGCCTTTCGATTAGCCAAATTAGTAGTTACGAATTAGTCGAAAGGTAAAATCATTCGTAGTCGCGCATCGCTAGCAGAAACACAACACCAGCAAAATGTAGTGTTATTTTACTGTGGTCTTCTGTTATGTGGAGGTTGCTTCCCCAGACGGGCGCTCCAATTCGAGCGGAAAATCCGCTGTGCCCTAACTTATATCTAAAAGGCCTCAACTTAAAAGGAACTTCTACCGTGTTTAAGCTAAGCTATAAAAAAGCTCTCGTGGCACCGTCACTTTCAGATCTTTGTTTTTGTTGTTGGCATTTTTAAGTCTCAAATAGAATCAACTGCAGATGCAACTTTACTGTTACTTTAGATATATTGGCACAAAAGTCCTACGAGACACCGCCGCCATTGTTATTAATCTTTCATAAGCCGCATCAGCAGAAAGAAGATAGTACAGAAGGTAAACGGTTATGTAATTTTTATACCTACGCATGGCGGATGCGTTAGATTTGCCAAACTTTGGCCTGTGCACAAATCATGCTAGTGGCATTTGTACATAATATATATTTGTTTGATTTATTTCTGAGAATGGCACAAAAATTATGGAAATAATAATGGAAAAAAATGTTATTTTAGGTACTAATGGCCCGCCCTTGCTTCGCTCCGGTGTAAAGCTGTAGTGTAGACTATAGTTTTTGTTCTCAAGCTTGTATTATACACAATGAACTTCTTTGTTATTATAAACCTTTCATGGAAATTTATTTACCGTTTAGTTGTACCGAAGACACCATTTTCTTGCTTGAACGCGCAAATCTCTGGAACTAAATTCGCACCTTTAAAGCAAAACCGTTACTAAACGAAATTATAAAATTTTACAGGAGAGCCATTATTAGAAAAAAGTCACCGTTTTTTGTCAATAAAATCTGAGTGCAGGGTTCTTTGAGACATTTAATGAGGTCTTATTATAGATCTCTGTTTACATTATGACACGTGATTTAGGAAAGTTATTTTTTTTATTTACAGTATTATTTATTTTGATTTATATTATTATAGTAACACTTTACCATTAATAATTTGTTCATTATGGTATATTACTATGAAATTACAGTGGAACTGATGTTACTTAATAGAAAACTAATAAAATTTCATAAATACAATAATATTATTCAACATTTAAATTAATAATCACAATGTTGGCATTTGTTGTGGTGTTATAATATTACCAAATAAAAATAACATTCGAAATTAATAATGTTTTATTACAATTTAAAGAGAGATCCATACAATCATTTGGCATAGTTATATATCAATCAGTCTTGAGAAATTTGTATCTTTAAATCACAGCATGTATGTATCTTACTATATTAACTACTTATTAAGTATTTAATTACATTTACAATCAGTTTGACTAGGAACAAACCAATTGGAAATAGCTTTTTTTTAATTTAACAAAGTTACAATCACAGCATTATTTCCCTATCAACAAAAGCTACTCAGGGCTAATCAAAGTTATGTTGACTTGTATCACTTAATTAGAATAACGAGGCAAACCTATTGCCATATAAAAAAAAATCTCGTAAAAAACTTAAAAATAATGTTACTTATTGTTTTTCTAAATGAATAATCATCAATAATAAGTTGTCTTATTACAATAACATCTCGGTTTAGTATTGCTAAAACAAGATGCTGTTGTAATATGACAATGCGTAACTCTGTGGTATTATATTACTGTTAATTAAACTCATATGTCGCTGTTTTTTCTGTCACTTAATTTTAATCTAGACTGATATAAAGGCTTTAACTGGAAATCTTGAAGATTAGTGCTAGTGCGTGTTCGAGACGAACGATTGTTACGGAATTGTATTTCTTTGAAATCTGTATCTAAGTAGGAAGTTTTATAATAAAGGCCAACGTGGTTGGAATCTTGATGTTTTTCAAATTTCATTATTTTAATGTCAATTGAGCACCGTATGCCTCTGTAAGATTTTTAATATCAACAAAGTCTGAATAGCACATTTCAGTAACATTGTAAGGATTGCCTTTTTTTCGGGAAGTTCTGATTATGGTCACGTATTGATCTGGTGTATACACAGGACCAGAACGAAAGCACTTTTTAACGGCTTTTTCTATCACAGAATGAACGGAATCATTTTCATTTTGTGTGTGCCCACTAATTAAATATTTGTGCGTAATAGACTTAATTTTAAGTACAGATAAGGCATTTACATACATAGAAAACATATGCTTATTCTTTTGCTGACCACAGCAATTATCAGAATAAAATGTGATTCGTAAATTATTGTCATTTATTTCTGATGCCCTCTTTGTCAAATACCTCCAAACACACGTTGCTATTTCGTTAGCTCCTCTTAATGCCTCGACCTCGCTCCAAACAAAACAATCACAATAGTCTTTCGCTAATTCACTTATAGTAAAATTACAAACATTGAGCTTACACTTGTAATATAAAGTAGAAATATCTCCTTTCGGCAGAGGCAACACTGTCTGGAGGTCATAACAAGCAACAATGTAGTTTTCCTGAACCAATTTTTTGTCATTTGACTTTTCCTGGCGACATAATTCTTTTTCAAGCTGGTGTTGGTCGTATCTGTTCTGTAATTCTATTGTTTTATCAACGGCGTTTTTAAAGCTAATGCATAGTTCGCACTGATCTTTTTTAGGTGTGTGAAAGTCAATGTTGTAATCATCATTAAAAACTTTTCTGTATGTATGAATTTTAGCAGCTTCAACACCATCACTCAAGCATTGTGTTTGGTAGTCGGTATAAAGATCTGTACTATTTTGAGGAGTTGGGCTAAACGTTACACGCCTAGGTGGGGTTGCTGGTACATAATCAGGATCGCAATCTGCCTCATCAGGGGAGAAGTCCTTACCCGATTCAGACGCAGTAGATGAAGATGATGAAGTTGAACTTGAAGATGATGAATTTGAAGATGATTTTGAGCTAGTTGAATGGGACCTTGCTCTACTGCTAGGACCTGGTACTGTAAGATCTTCTTCTGGAGTTAATTCTGGAAAACCAGTACCGCTCAAATATGGATTTGGTATTCCATCATCAACTGGTTGATCATAACACTCAGCTTCCATAGTATGACTAACAGACTGAGGTAGTGCTTGTTCTTGCATTATAGAAGGAGATTTACAAGTATCGACAGTTATCGGATTTGCATTACGTGAAAAATTATAATCCAGGTAGTCCATGGATATTAGTTTGGGGTTTTCAGTACTTACGGAATCTTTCTTAGATTCCATAGCCTCCAAAATGCGTGACAAACGTGGGTTCCGTAAATGCGCCATGACCTGAAGCAAGTGGTTTTATTATTACTATAATAGACATTTTAACTTAAATAAATTTAGTTACTTTATGTACAACTTTTATTTCGATTTAGTAGTAAAGTGATACTACAAGAAATGTTACGTTTTATTATCTGTTTTAAATAAATATGAAGTAAATTTTAATATTAAATGGAACTAAACAAAATGTAAAATATTACATTTTGTTTACTTCTAAAATTTTTATGCAAATGTA